ACTTCTCCAGAATGCTAAAGTGCAATGATGCCAGTCTATAGACTAATGTGCACCTAATCTAAGCCATGGCCTTCTCAATTACTTATTATGCATCAGAGAGCCGGACAATGACTAAGAATGGTGAAGAATTGGTGCCTTTGAGTTGTGGTTTTGGAGAAGAGTACTGAATATATCATGCATTTCTAAGAGAACAAACATCCTGGAGAGGGTGAAACCAAGCTGCTTCTTGGAATAAAGGATTTTGAAGCTCCAGCGCACACATTTTTGGCATGCTGCCAGAAAGGGCCAGTCCTTGGAGGAGGGCATCATGCTCAGAAGGGTGGAGGGAGAGTGCAACCCTCGATGAGATGGGAAATGGGGATAGCTGTGTCTGAGACAGTAAGATTGGCTCAATATAAAGCAGGGTTCAGAGCTATTTTACATTGCATTGCTATGAGTTGCAGTTGATTCAAGGGCACATAACAACAACAACAACTGAGAAGTCAGCAGGTCAAATTCAGCAAAGGACAAAGATGAGTAGTCTCGTCCCCTAAAGATTTACAACTTTAGAAACTCCATTTCCATGGAGTCGGAAGTAACTCAATGCATTGACAATGAGTTTGATTTTTATTTGGTTCTTGAGGACGTAACAGCTTTGGATCATGTCAGCAAGTACAATAAAATGTCTTCATAATCATACCTTTGACCACTGATCCATACACTTTACTAATGGGCCAGAGACTGTAGAAAGATCATAGTGTCGAGAAATAGAACATGAAGGCAGGAGGAAGTAAATGGGAAAGGGATTTTGAGGGACCAGTCAGGAGACTTGAGAAAATTCCAAGAGAGGATGTAAGGGAGGAAAACACAAAGCCTCTCACGTCTTGGTGAGGTTTGGCCAGAGGCACATACAACGGGATGACAGGTATAGCAAAATTCTGACCAGCCCTGAAGGTGAAGTGGGCACCAATGAGCAGTTTCTATTGGCCATTCCAGTTTCTATCACCAGCTGTGAAAGATAATTCAGCAATAAGATACTAATTGCCATTGGTGCTATTTTCCAAAGGGGTTATATATATAGTAATACAAATAAGAATTTTCTACAAAAGAGCAATGGGTGAATTCTTTAACCACATTAATTTTCTTTGTAAAAGGAAAGGGGCAAATTTATTTATATGTATTATTCAAAGTCATGATAAGATCAAATAGTGCTCAGCCATTTACTTGACCTTGAGTCAATTCCCACTTACGGTGACCCCATGAGTACAAAGTAGAACTGTACTCCAGAGAGTTTTAATAGTTGACTTTTTAAAAGTGCAGCATCTTCCCTTTTTTCTGGCGGTACCTTTTGGTAGACCTGAACCTCTAACCTTTTAGTTAGTAGGCAAGCATGACACCCTTTTGGACCATCTACGATTTCCAACTGTACCAACAAATCCACAACCTGTGTGAGAGAAGAACCTTTTAAAATTTTTTTTTAAAAATTATTTATTTTTTGTGTATGTACCATCAAATTGGATCTGACTGGTACAGGAGGAGATTGCCCCTCCTTCTCCAGAAGAACATCTGGTGGATTCAAGCTGCATATCTCTGGGATTATAGTGCAGCTTCTTGCGACTAGGCCACCAGAGCTCCCTTGAGAAAAATCTTTCAAAAAGCATTTACTACATGATTAGGGAGAAACAGAATTTATGTTAGAGGAAGTTCTAAAAGATAAGTAGGAACATATAAGGCTAACAAGGCAAGTGGCCAGGAAAGGGTACCCAGAAAGAGGAATTATTAAAGGTCGAGGCACATAGGGGTGAAGGAGTTTTTAAGAACCAACATAAAAATTCATTTGGTTTGGCCACCAAAGAGTCCATGGATGAGGAGACTGGCAGTAAAGAAGATGCCATACGGAATAAGGTATCTTATTATGCCATAGATGTTATGTTATTATAGAAAAGTTGTTATATCAGGTTCTATAAAGTCAACTCCAACTCATAGCATACATCCAACAGAATGTAAAACTGATATCCTGCACCATTTGCAACTTTCTCACAATCACTGCTATGTTTGAGCTCAAGTTGTAGCCACTGTGTCAATTCGTCTCATTGAGGGTCTTCTTTGAAGATGACCTTCATTTTACCAAGTACAGTGGCCTTCTGCAGGGATCAGTCCTTTCCAATGACATATTTTAAATAAGTGAAATCATGTAATGGCATCACTTTCTAAGATGCATTTTGGTTATATTTCCAAGACAGATTTGTTTGTACATCTAGAAGTTCATGGTTTATTAAATATTCTTTGCCAACACCACAATTCAAAGACAATTTTTCTTTAGTTTTCCTTACTTAATGTTCAACTTTTGCATACATATGTGGTGACAGGCACACCTTAGTCCTCAAAGTGACACTTCACTTTTCAACACATTAAAGAAATCTTTACAGCAGATTCCCCCAGTGCATTATGCCATCTGATTTCTTGACTGTTGCTTCCATGATATTAATTGTGGACCACAGATGGAATCCTTGAAAAATCAGTATCTTGCCTATTCACCATGTTTTTTGCTTATGTATCGAGTTACAGGGATTATACTCCCCACCCCCACCCCATTTATACTATGTTGTAGAGAAGAGAGAGTGCCTAATTGGTGAGTGGGTTTGTACATGAAAGAGAATTTTCTCTTTGGAAGATAGATGGCAGTGTAGGTGGTAGTCTGGTATGAATGGGTACAGAGGGAACAGAAACAATTGCCTGGGCACAAACAACGGTGTAGGGATGGAGAACAGAAAATGAGTGTTAAAATGGGTGGGCTTTTGAAAGCAGGCTTGTCTGTGGCACTATGTACTAAGATAGAATATTAGCCTTTAATAGAACCTTGTTCATACCTCACATGTTGTAAGGATACCAGTTAGCACCTAATAGTGCCTTGCGCCATGCCTGCTCAGGGAATGTGTACATTCTTTAAATAATAACTCCAAAAATGTACTTTTTGGTGGAGTGATTGCAAATTCTTCTCTGCTAAGGACAATGTTGGTTAAGTCAGCCTGTCTGGGGAAATTTATGAACAGAATATTTTACTTGCATTTTCAAAAGTATCCTGATTTCCATGATAAATTATATAGTAAACTATGTTTGAAGTCCCTGATGGTGTAGACATTTGTATTCCAACCTGACGGTGAGTGAGTCAATCCACCAGCTGCTCCAAAGGAGAAGGATGGGCAATCTTCTTCTGAAAATCTTTCCTCTGAAAACCTACTGGGGAGTCAGCTATGAGACTACCCAGAAATACATCAGAAAAAGGGCTGGCACTCTATTTCCAAAACTCAACCACGGAAAACCCTGTGGAGCCCAGGACACACACGGAGTCTCTAGGAATCAGAGTTGAACTGAAGCCATATTCTTGGGTAACTTCCCTGGAAGGGACCCTTGAAAGTTCTTCATTGGGATGGTGGAATCTTTCTGATGGTGAGGATGGAAAGAAACCGTGGCCTTAATTTCTACTTCTGCCAACTCAATCTCTCCATATTCTTTCTTGTTGTTGTTAAAAAAATCTCCTAGAGATCTCTGGAAGAACTATTAGGAGATTTGGTAAAGTGGAAAACGCTCTGGAAAAGAGACTCGACAAAGTTCGAGGCTATCTCAAACACATCCCCGAACAAGCTGTGCAGCTTCTGGCAAGGTGCCCTTTCTCTGGGTCTCAGAGTCCTCATCTGTGAAGCAACAGAACTAAGCCATATGGTTTCTAAGATTCTCTTCCAGCTTGGGCAACTCCCATAGGGGTTTCCGGAAATCAGCAATATAGGGCAGCTCCCAGGAACTCTCTCTGGCCCCTAAGAATCACAGCCAGCCTCAACTCTGTGTGCACTGCGTGCCTTTCACTGTTTTATCAGGCCCCAGCTGTGAGGTGGCACCACCTTCGCAGGTTCATGAAACAACATGCTCTCAAAGCCAATCCACAGCAGCACCAAGCAAGTTTTGATGAAGACAGCGCTAAAGCGGACCGAATGGAGGCCTCCGGGCGCTGCCGCATTTTACAACCCACCCACTAGGTGGCTCTGCTTGAGCCTGGACCCCCCCAAACGTGGGAAACGCGAAGCTCCCAGACAGAGTAATAAGACAGGCATACACCTATTTGCATAGTTTTGATTTGTTTGCTTGTTTTGTTTTTACCTTGGCGCCTTCTTCCCAGCCCTTTCTGGGCGCACGAAAGCGTCCCTGTTCTTCCACAGGCTGGGAAGGTCCGCAACCCATGCTGTGCGCCTCTCTGGCTGGGATTCGGGATTCGCCTCGCTCAGTGCGCCCCTCGCAGCCTTGCGCCCCTCGCAGCCTTGCGCCCCTCGCAGCCTTGCGCCCCTGTGCCCTGTGCCTTCCACCTCTCTCACCTTAAAGTCTGGGCAGGAGGAGCTCAGGCATTTGGACAGTTGCCGGGAACTGTTGCCACAATAAACCGCGTCACACCGACCTGGGACCTGGGAAGCTATTAGGCTTTTGTGCCCGGAAAAGTAACAAGTTTGGGGCGTTTGAATCACAACTGTATTGCAAATTTCAGCCTCTCCAAGGTGAAGTGATGAGCTGAGTTGGTTTTAAGAGTTCAATGGTACAGAAGTACAAAATGCATCCTATGGAGACTTCTGCTTTTAAAAAAAATAACATGTAAGGCATATTGGAAACACGCAAACCAGCTGTGGTGTCTGAGCCATGCTCTCTGGTTGTTACCTTTTGTAGGACTGTGTGGAAGGGGACACTGTAATTCAATTAGAGAAGACCCTCTCCGGAGGCAGCTGGGACAGTACTAGAGAGAGAGAGGCAAGGTGACAGGGCCAACCCAGAAAGGCTATTCAAACAAATGGAAGTTCAGGAAATCATTACACCATACAGGGCCATACACAATTAATGATCATGCAAACGTTGTGATGGGAGGTGTAAAGTATTAGCTGTTACGTAAGGAAAGAACAAGAAGATATATTATTGGAGAGTGAAATAAAAATAGATCTTGTCAAAGTTGTCGATGAGACCCACTGCCAAAATGAGCAACAAGTTGTTCCCTCCTGTTTTTTTAACTTTAATTTTACTTTTTATTTCATGTTTGAGAGAAAAAAAATATTAAATAAAGAACACTTTCTCATTGCTATAGAATGGGAATAAACTCTTAAGTTGACCTTCCCAGGGGTTTTCAGAGACTGAACGGCAGGGGAGGAGCTGCCCATTTTTCTCCCTCACAGTCACTGGTGAATTCGGAGCCAACAGAGAAGGCTGTGCCTCTCTGTTGTTTGCTGTTGGGCACGAGAGTTAGAATTGGCCTATAGCTGACCTTCTAGCGGGTTTTTAGAAGCGATGAAATAACACGGGAGGAGAGTGCCCATTTTTCCCCAACGTAAAACAGCTGGCGGACTCGAACAGTGGACCTTTGGGTTAGCAGTGCAGTTCCTTACTATCAATTAATCCTGTATTTTACAGGCTGTGCATAAAGTCAGAGCAATCCGGTGATTTCAATGAGATCAGAAAGCTAGTTAATGAGGAAGATGGCATTAGGAAACTGATAGTTTCCTGACAGTTCAAGTTTCCACAACACCAAGAAAATACTGCTTAGAGTACATGGAAAAATCCTAGAGCCTTTGGAAGAAATTAAAGGTCAGCTCTGTTGTACAAAGCTGACGATTTTCTTTAGAGCACTTAATCACATTTTACTCTTCCTCTTGTCACTTGATGTTCCTTGTCATTTTTTTCCTTTTACTTGAGGAAAAGGGAGAAATATTAATTAAGGGAGAGGAAAGAAGAGGAAATGAAACTCTTATCAAAGCATTATAACGATCATAACAAGGCTGAAATGGTGTTCTGGGAACATCTCTGAGAGTATTAATTCATGGGTGTAATAAGACGAGTGAAATGCTCCCACAAGCAGCTGGAAAATTTTCCACCAGAATAATCCAACAACAAAAAGCACCTTTGAAATGTTCTTTAGAAATGTAATGAGCATTTGCAGAATGAACTGTAGGAGTGAAATATGACAGATGACTTTCTTTTTATTTTTTAAGGCATCAGTGAGCATATGTTTACTAGGGCATGCATGTGAATGAAACGCATGATAACCAAAAATGTTATGTAGGTATCTTCTAGAACTTCGTTTCTCCAGCCAAAATAATATGAGAGGGCCCTTTTTTTTCTGGGGAACTTACTGTCTGCTGAATGTCTTAATAAGGTCTTACTAGCAATAGTCTTGTAACTTCTACTATATGACTGGGTTGTTGTTGTTAAGTGCCATCAAGTCGTAAGTGACTCATAGTGACCCTATGAATGAAAGACCTGAACACTTGTATAATTTTCATCCTTTCTTCAGGTTCATAGGATTTCCGGAAGCAAGCTATTACTGAAGTGGATGCCACTCCTGCTTCCAAGCTTGTTTTAATTGGGGAGCTCCACCAAACACTGTCCACCATGGATAACCAATATTGCATTTGATACTTCAGTGTCACAGTGTTCAGCTTCACAGCAGCCACGAGTTACCTCTGTATAGCAAGTGGACAGACCAGGGCTATATGGACCTAGAAGAGTGTTTGACCAAAAACAATTAAAAACAGGCCTGAGGGCTGCTGATTAAAGTCACCCACCTTTGGCTTAGTAGCATCACTTTCTGTCCACTAGGCCAACTGATCTCTCTCTATGCTGCTGCTGTTGTTGTTATATAACTGGGTGGGACTATGTAAATGAGATGGGCCATGACGGGGATTGGAGTGCTTGTTAAAATGGTGAACAAGATGCATGGTACCTTTGTAGGAATGGGACCAGACAAATAAGGCTTTAGAATATTATGAAACAATTGATCAGTTTTGCCATTAATATTGAAAGAGAGTCAGTCCTAGAACAGGAAGAGGAATCTCCCGATTACCAAGAAAGAAGAATTTGGAGTGCATTCTTTGGAACTAAGATTGCTTCTCTGGGAACCTCTTCCAGGCATGAGACTGACAGAGCTATAATACAAAGATGGTAGGAGATGGCAAGAATCAGCAGTAGGAAGACCAAACAATGGAGTAACAGTGTAATGATGTTGGCAATAGATTCAGATGGCTGAGGTGGGCTTCCCAGTCTACAGAGCCAGAAAACTGAGCAGGAGACTTCCCAGCAGAGTGAGGTGGCTCTGGGGCACTTGGTAGAGCTAGATTTACAGTCTAATGGACATAAAGGGGAATGCCTGCAGGCCAAAGTTTACTAGCTGAGTAGGATTCCTCCAGGCGTTTACCAGCAGAGTTAAAAGAGCTTAATGATTAGGCATTATATGTAGGAAAAAAATCTGAAACATGGAGTACATTGTAGGGAGGGCTGAAGAAGGGAAAGGAAAGGGAGGGGAAAATATACAACATAGAAAAAAACATATATTCCATATTGACAAGATAAAAAAATATGTAAATTATTGAAAATAATTACAATAAAAATTAAAAGCCTTAAAAAAAAAAAAGAGCTTTGTGATGTTTGGAGCAAGGCCGAGAGGCCAAAAGATTACTTTTAGAGAGAGTTCTGAGGTATGCCTGATGCAAAGAACTATCTATTTACCAAATGTTCTTGGACCTGAATTTTAAATTGATTACTTTCCCATAAGCTGCATAATCGTAAATATGTTCTCAGAGTTTCAATTGGCCATTGTAACAAATTATCAAGTCCAGCCAAAAAAGTAGAGAATGGTGTGGGAGGAATAATTATTATCAGAATTGGCAAAGTGGTTGGAGAGAGAAGGTGTGTCTGCTCCCCACTTTATAGGAATCAGCCTTGTGGATGATGATTCTTTGCTCCCCGCCATGAAGTTAGTGGAGTCAGATGGTGCTTCAGAAACACCATTTTTATAGATTTGCTAAAGTCAGCTCATTCTGGCTCATAGGAGTCTATAGTTAATCTTTTGGAATATTGGGACACAATCATCATTAAAAATTAAATTATCTCAACTTATAATTAACTATATTAAAAATAAGGTAATAAATGCTCAACATTTATCACTTCCAAAGTCACTTATTGCATCTTAAAATAAATTCTTTTCTTAAGCTTAGTTATGTTTATTGCATCTGTGTGGTGGAAAGGACATATAATTGTGTGCTAATGAGCATCTCTTTCAACCCTCGCTCACTGATGCCACGTGTGGTGCCAACTTGGCTAGGCTGGAATGTTCAGTCATTAGACGAAGGCCAAATACGGCTATAAAGATCTTTTGCTGGAGTGATTAACATTTCAATAAATTGGCCTTAAGTAAAACAAATTACCCTCTATAATGTGGGTGGACCTCATTCAATCAGTAGAAAGTCTTAATTTTTTTTTTTTAAAGAGATTTTTCAAGAGAGAAGGTTCTACCTCAAGAATAAATAAACATCCTTCCTGCCCTTTTAAACAAAAGACTCCTGAAGTTTCCACTCTATCGCCTGAATCATGTTGGTTTTGGTGTGGTTTTTTTTTTTAACTCTACTTCATCCACTCTTTCTGTCCCACCATGGAAGACTGTGTGTGTATCATTTCTATGTCTCCTTTCACATAGGGACTGGGACTCTGTCTCAAGGTTATATGTTATGATGAACCCTTAAATATCATGCTTCAGTCTTGGAGTGTTTTGATGATTATTAGAAAGCAAAACTATTTAATTCTCACCAAATTAGGACCATCCATTGCACATTTTAAAGTTTAATCACTCTCCTTGATCATTTTCTTCAGTTTTGAGTCATGTTGGTTATTGCCAGGCAGAGAAATATAGGTCTCATCGAGTCTTTTCTTGATTTTGCTCTAGGGCTTATCTGAGGATAAGATTTATCTTGGAGTGAGAAGGATATTACAAGAAATGGTGCCTCTGAAACTTCAATGTGTGTGGGAACTACCTGGAGACCCTGTTAAAAGGCAGATTCTGATTCACTAGGTTTTGTTGCCCCAGTGCTACTTTTCTAACACTCTCCTAGGTGAGGCTGTCACTGTTAGTTAAAGGTAGGTATTATGAATATTAAATCATTACTTCAAAGTATAGTTAATACAGAGGAAAATAGAAAGGGGAGAAATAAATGAGAGGAAAATTTGGGGAAAAAAGATAGAATTTATTAGGCAGTAGGTATAAAGGTAAAGAATCAATAATAGTTTCTTACTGGCAATTTTTTTTTCTGTCTTATAATTACTTCAGGAAATCAAAAGCCAGATTGCACTGGGATTGCATCAGGGACCTCTCCAGAAAAACAATGATTTCAGTCTAGAGACGAAGGTGTGTCTGATCCAGGCAATGGTCTTCACAA